TGTGGCACCGCTGGGGCTCCGGAGTGGTCGTGGCGCCCCGCCTCGTGGTGACCTGCCGGCATGTGGCCCCCCGCGAGACGGCCAGAGTCCTGGTGCGCCCCACCACCCCCAAGTAAGACCCGCAAGGGTGCTCCCACTCCACACCTTCACCAGGTCTAAAATCTGGATCTTAAATCTCAGGTCTTAATCCTTGGAATTATGGAGGCCTTTTGGCATCACACGGATGATTTGGGGCCCTCCCCTGATCCTTGGCACCCAGAACTCCAGTGTCGGGGATGCTGGGCCTCCTGGCAGGGGCTGAGTGAGACCGGGGCAAGATGCCCAGCAACTCCAGATTTGGGAACTGTAGGTTGCACCCGCATTCCTGCGTGGGCATCTGATTTCCTTCTGAGCAACTTCTCTGCACTCACACACCCCTAGGCCTTGGAATGGAGACTTCCCTGATAGTGGTAGTGAAGCCTCAGGGCCCAGGATGCTGTGCTCCTGGGATAATGAGTTGGACCTGTTCATCTTCTTTATCTTGTAGATCTTAATCAGAGCTTCCCATCTGGATCAAAATGATAGACGTGGAGTCCCACCTAATGAGAATGTGGGAGTGGGGCCCAGGCCGATAGATTTTGCACAGTCTTTAGGTGATCCTGGTGGGCAGCCAGGTTGGGACTTTAGTCATTTGTTCCCTCTCTGCAGGGAAAAGCACTTGCCCTCCGTGCACTTGCTCTGGCAGTGGGGACAGTGGCCTTGGCCTCCTGGCTTGATTTTCTAGTGCACGTTCTTTCTATTTCCCCTGTAGTTTCCAGGTGCTTAACTTAAGCCACAACCAAGCAGGATAGCACCTTGGTGTTAATGCCTGATGTTCTCCTGTACCTGGCTCTCACAGCCTGGCAGCCCAGGCCTTTCAAAATCCTATTGAATTTCTGAGACTAACCCTTGCCTGTTGCGCTGTTGGCCTTCGGGACAACCACGACTGATGAGAATTTCCCTGCCTGTGTGGTCCCAGATACCTCATCCCACCCCGCTTGCTCCTAAGAAAACCACCAGATCTGCTGGGAGCAACCCTGCCGTGTGCAGCAGGAAGTGTCTAAGCTGCCTCGCCTGGAGGTGGCATGTGCAGTCTTGGAGCAGAGCCTGGCACATAGTAAGTGCCATAGACATGCTAGCACTTCTGTAAACAAGGACCCAGAGGGTTGAAATCCTGTCATGCCTGCCCCACCCATGCACAGGATTGTCCCTGTTAAATGAGGCAGCGAAGGAAAAAGCTGGGCACGCTCTGGCTCCTACCGCTCACCCATTACGTAATCTTGGGAATGTTACTCAACCTCTCTGGGTCTCCAATGCCCCACCTAAAATGGAGGTAATATCAGTGCCTCGCTCACAGGGATTCTGTGAGGACTTCATGAATGACGCCCATAGAGTGTTAACATGGGGCCTGGCCCACAGTGCTCACTAGGTGTCGGGTGTTGGTGATCACGGTGACGTGCAGGAAGCTTTGCAGTTGGTAAAGCTGTTTGGAAATAACACCACAGAACGGTTAAGGGACATGACCAGAGTTGCCAGCCTGGTAACTTTTGGGACTGACACCGGATCTTTTGACTCCCACGTCCATGACTTTTACTGTCTCTCATTCATTTGCTTCCTCCCAGCACTAAAGGGTCAGAAAGCCAGCCTGTCCTTTTGTTTCCCTTGCTCCCAGGAGTGCCAAGATCTGGGGACACGTGGTGTTTGCCACTCAGGAGACATCTCCATATGACATAGCCGTGGTGAGCCTGGAGGAAGAACTAGAGGGTGTCCCCGTGCCGGTGCCCACTGAACATTTCTACGAAGGTAAAGGGCAGAGGGGCCCTCTGCTCTGGGCTGGACCTTAGGAAGGAAAGTCAGAGTTGGACACTCAAACCCTGCAGACGAGGGAGCCAGTCCCCCAGCCAACCCCCTTCCCACTCCTGCTGGACTAAGAAGTCAGGAATGTGAGCAAACACTGGCATGAAGTCATCCTGGGTACAGTGCTTTTGCTCTTGGACACTTCCCTTCTTGTGCCCACATGCCCAAGGTGCGGGGAGGCAGGTGGGGTCCCCAGCTAAGGAGGAGGCATGCCTCTTCCCTGCGGCCCTGTGGCAGGCTCCTTACAACATGGCCGGCTGGTCAGAGAGGGCTCCTGTAAGGCTGCGGTGGGTGATTTGAGCAGGCGGCTTTGTGATGCTGCCACAGAAGTTGCCGCTGGCAGCCGACTTTGTGCACGCGGTGTGATGTCACTACAAAGAGCACGGGCTCTCCCAGCTGGCCTCACTGTTGACACTTACAAGCCCCATGTCCTTGTACAGGCAATGTGATGTTCTCTGCCTCGGTCTCCACATGTATAACTGGACACCTTCCTGCTCCTGGGTGCGTGAGGCCTGGGTGAGATGCTGCCTGTAAAGCACTCGGCCCCATGCCCTGTGCAAACACTTGGTAAAGGAAGATTTTGTGGTCGTCGTCACCACTTTTTTTTTTTTACTAAGAGACTACTTATTAGTCCCAGGAGGAGGTGGGTGTTAATTCTGTAAACATTTACTGAGCACCTAGCTGGGTGCTAGGAACTCCAAAAAGTGACCACCCACTCTACTGGGGACGAGGCTGGGGAACAACAGCCTGGCACTGAGAAGTGGTTGAGCAGGTGCAGTGCTGGGAGCTCAGTGCCGGTCCCGGCCTCTTCCTGTGGGGACCTAGGGAGGCTCTCGGAAGGCAGGAGTGTCTGAGCAGAAACTCCCAGGGCAGAATGTTGGGAACTTTGGAGAGGGCCGGGTTGGGGCTGGGGAGGATGAGTCCTGCCAGACAGGAAGAGGCTTTGCAGCTTCATCCTTCTTTCCTTTTTGGCAGGTGAGGCTGTCAGCGTGGTGGGCTTCGGCGTTTTTGGCCAGGCTTGTGGGCCCTCGGTGACCTCGGGCATCCTGTCAGCTGTGGTGCAGGTGGATGACGCGCCGGTGATGCTGCAGACCACATGTGCTGTGCACGGCGGCTCCAGTGGGGGACCCCTCTTCTCTACCTGCTCAGGGGACCTCCTGGGTAAGCAGCGCCTTGGCCCTCTCCCAGCCTTCCCCTGGCTAGAGCCTCAGTCCCAGCTACTGAGGGCTTGGTGCTCACCCCCTGTCTGGGAAAGGTAGTGTCACTGTGCCCGGGAAGTAGTTAGCCAAGGTTTCAGGCTTGTTCTGCTCCTGAGGGTAGAAAGGGACGGATGCTGAGCTGCAAGGAGAGACGTCTGGGTTCTGGTTCCTTCTCTGCCCCTGAGCCACTGTGCAACCGTAGGTAATCCCCCATCTCAGGCAATCTGTGAGACTCAGGAGTTGGATTAGTCCAGGGGTCACAGACTCCATAGCTTACAGAGGCTGGAAGGTCAAGGGATGAATAAGTGAGTGGAGACAGCATGCAGGGGGAGGTCAAGGGTGAGCCGGGGTGAACACTCAGCTCCAGCCCATTGTTGCCACATCATGAAGGAATGTGAGCTAACACTGGCTGACCTTCAGTTTTTCACAAGAAGCTGTGAACCTTCTTTTCTTTTTTTTTCTTCTTCAAATATATGGTTGTTAAATCTTTCAATTTAAAATTTTTGGTAACTCAAGGTTTTTAAAAAAAGTCTTTTATTTAAAAAAACCCCACACAAGACAACATGAATCCATATGGATACCTCCAACTGCCCAACTGTAGTCCAGCACACGGGGTTCATGTGTGCCCCCCTTCTCTTATTTCTGACTGCTTTCTGCCATAGTGAGAGACCTTGCTTTTTCTTGCTACAATAGATTTACTTATTTCTTCAACGGCAGTGTGCAAATAAAGTCAAGCAACCATGACTTTAAAAATATATATATACAGACAAATGCATACAGAAATGAACATATATGTGTACTGGTATGTATGCAGTAGTTAATGTAAATATATATATATATACTGGGTCTGCCCACTGTGACAACCCAGTTGAATGAGCACACTGAGAACCCGATCTCTAATAAAAGGAACTGGGAACTGGTTGGTACCAGGATCAGGACAGGGAAAATGGGCTCTCGTGGTGCTGGAAAGGAAGGAAATGCTAACAAAACAACCCAGTGATGGGACGTGTCAGATGTTGAAAGAACTAAGAGCCGACTTGAAGGAGCTCCCATGGGAGCAACGGAGCAACAAAACAAATAGCAAGGGTATCGGGTGATAGCCCAGCGAAAGCACGAATATCCATGTGTCCAGATGAATAACCAAACCTCAAAATGGAGACGAGCAACAGCTCTTTCTTACAGAAGATTTGCAATTAGTGAAAGCAGAAGAAATGAGGGAAATGGGAAATCACTACTGGCTCACCACGGTAGGAATTGCTGCAGACAGGATCTGCCGATGGATGCTAAAACCAGTGGGCAATAGTTTAAATAGAAATAGGATATTTGCCTAACCCTCAAATATTTAGTACTTTACACGGGAAAATACTAAGTCTACAGTGGAGAAACCTGGGAGATAACCCGTAGCCAAGTGACCCAGTCATTCTTACAGACATCATACACCTCCTTGGGAAGCACTGAGGACACGTTGCTTCTACTGTATTCTCAATAATGTACAACCTCGATCTCATCCTGAGAAAACATCAGGTAAACCCTAATTGAGGGACATTCTACAGAATAACTGGCCTGCATTCTTTGAAGTGTCAGGGCCACAAAAGATGAGGGAAGGCTGGGGAACTGGCCCAGATTGGAGGAAACTTAGGAGAGGCAACACCTAAATGCTGTGTGGGATACTGGGTTGCATCCAAAACAGAAGGAGGACATGAGTGGAAACATTGGTGAAATCCAAATGAGTTCTATGCTTCAGTCAATAGCATTGGTTAATTTGTTGGTTCTGATCAGTGTTTTTTTTTTTTTTCCTTTTGTTTTTAATCCTCACCCAAGGATAATTTTTCCATTGATTTCTAGAGAGAGTGGAACGGAGGGAGGGAGAGAGAGACAGTGAGAAACATCAACGTGAGAGAGACGCCTCAATTAGTTGCCTCCTGCACACATCCTACCTGGGCTGGGGAACCTACAACTGAGGTATGTGCCCATGACCAGGAATGGAACCCGCGACCGAGCAAACGGGCCAGGGCTTAGTCAATGTTCTGTGGTGACATGAGATATTAATAGAAAGGAAAGCTGGATGAAGGATATACAGGAACTTTGTACTATTTTGGCAAGGCTTCTGTAAGTCTAAAATTGTATGAAAAAATACATGCACACATATGTGCACACTAAGCAGGCCAAACAAAATGTGAGTTTGATTCATTCATTCACCCACTCAACAAGTATTTAGGAGAGCCGCCTCTGTGCTGGGCACTGGCTAGGTCTTCGGAGGCTGCGTGAACAAAACCCAAAAGTCCTGCCCTTGTGGACCCGACACTAGTTGGAAAGATAACAATAAGTGAAACAGTGTTAGATACTGTTAGTGTTAAGGAGAAAGTTAAGGCAGGAAGGGGGACCAGGGTTTGTGGAGTTGGTGTCCCTGAAAGAAAGCCTGGCATCGGTCACTCTGGGGGCTTCAAGCCCACCGTAGGCCTAGGACCTCCAGTGTGGAGATGGGCCTCCCTCCCCATCCCTCTGTGTCTGGCTCACACCCTCTTTCCCTCTGACTCCTCCACAGGGATTGTCGCCAGCAATACCCGGGACAATAACACCGGGGCCACCTACCCGCACCTGAACTTCAGCATTCCCATCACGGTGCTCCAGCCGGCCCTGCAGCGGTACAGTCAGACGGGCGACATGGGCGGCCTCCGGGCGCTGGACCACGCTGCTGAGCCAGTGAGGGTGGTATGGCGGCTGCAGCGGCCCCTGGCAGAGGCCCCACGGAGCAAGCTCTGAGTCTGTGTCACCCTCGAGAGAAGAGCGACATTTTATGCCCTGGGAAGTGCTAAGGTGATGGCAGCCTCGGGATCCTGTCACGGCAACCCAGCTGGGCAGCTCCCCCATCAGCACCTGCCGTGCTTGGCGCTGGAGTCTGGATCAAATTTCTCCTCAGCCCCATGGGCCTCCAAGCCAGTAGCCCCTTTTGGGGTGCTCTCTCCAGCCTTCACCCCTCTCTGCTCCCTGGCATAGACACAGCTCTGTTGTTCCCCATCTGGGGGCCCAGCACAGCTGCACAGAGTCCTGGTCCTGACAGGTTGGCTGGAAGGCAGGCCCAGCCCTGGGTTCAAGTCTCCCCTGTCCCCCGATGGCCACTGGCTCCTCTGCTCTCTGTCAGAATTAGCAGCTGACAGAGCACTGGCACTTCCTCAGAAAACCTCGGCACAGAGGCTCTGCTCTGAAGACCGGAGAGAAGGAAAGCGATGTCTATCTCCCTGTTCTGCCAGACCTTTGGGGAGACAGAGTCCCTGAAAGTCAGGACTCCTGGGTCTTCATATGTCGTGTCCGTGACCCACAGGGGCACTCTGCCATAGTGCCTTAGTTTTCCAGCCCATACAATGGGTCTCAGGGATCTTGGGAGGTGGGGAGAGGATTATCAGGTGTCTGGTTGGGGTTTGGGAATAAACAGGACCTATGGAAGGAACTGTATACTTGTATGAACCAGATTCCTTTTTTCCCTTTCTGTGTTGAGAGTTGAATTGGGAATAAGCAAGCACCAGGCACAGAAACGCACCTTTTCTGTCCGGCTTTCTCAGTGTGATTTGCTCTCACAGGATATTCTCATGCCCAACTGGCCCTTCCACGACCTCTGGCCCCTGGAAATTCAGACAAAAGAACTTTGTTGGGCAGAGAGCCCTGAAGTTCACTTCCAGAGCAATTGGCCCTGTTTAGTGGGTGAACTGCCTCGGAAAGGGCACAAGGGGGGTTGCACTGAGGCCCGCTTCCCTCTCTTGGATCAAGGTCCTCTGGTTGCCGAAGTGTTGAATGACAGGCATCTTCCCTGATTCATGGTTTGGAGTAGGTCTTTGGAGATGGGCCACCAGCTCTGAGAAGCCATGCCCCAAGCCCAGTGTGGGGCCACTATACACCCCTCCTCTCTCCTGGCTTCAGGTTTGTGCTGTGATTTTTAGAGTCCTGCCTTTGCACCCTGCCCATTGGAATTCATCTGTAGAGGCCCAGAGCTTTCAATCAATCTTCCTTGACCTTCCCAAGCCCCAGGGCAGGCTGTAGCACTCCCTGTAGCTCTGTCTCCCACAGGGCAGGGCATGTGCCCAGTAAATTTCCGATGCTTGTTTGACTCACAGTTGAGACTCTCCTTTGCCTGCTGTGACCTCTGGCCCCCTTAGGAATGATGACCTGCTGAGGGGTTTCCTGGCTTTAGAGTGAAGGTCCTCCAGCTCCTTGGCTTTACTAGCTGTGAATTTGCCTAAATTCTTAGCCTATGAGCCTCAGTTTGCTCATCTGTGAAATGGAGATTAATGAAACTTACCTTGGAGGACCCCTGTAAATTTTGAGAAGCTATCCAAAACAGTGTGTTTTCGATAACCATTAGCTATTATTTTTCTAGACTACTGGCCAGATTGTTTAATCAGAAATGCCGGGAAGAATGGTGTTAGAAATTGGTGATGGTTGCACAACCTTCACATTACTGAATTGTACATGTTAGAAGAGTGAATTTTATGGGAAGCAAACATTTGTGAACTCCTAGGAACCCAGTGCTGGGTCAGGGCCAGAGGCTCGAGACCTAAAGTCCAGCAGAGTGAGGTCTCTGCCCCAAAGAGCTGGTCAAGGGTGGTTGTTGCTGTCCTCGGGGTCAGAGTTTAATCCCCACCCTACTTTCCTGGAGAGGTTTCAGGAGAAAAAAAAAAAAGATAAAAACGGGAAGTTTGCAAAGTCCAGGACAAATGCAAGGCTTGCTGTGCCTGAAGCATCAGATCCAATCTATGGCTCTGATGGTTCCCTATGAGACGGTTTAGGCTGGGCTGGGCCCATGGGCTCTCTGCACCCACACTCTGGCACCATTGCTCTTCTGGCTGCGAGGAGGAGGTGGAGATTCCCACACCTCTCACTGTATCCCCCTCCAGCCTACATTCATGGGGCAGATATCAGCTGGGAGAGGAGGAGAGGCAAAGGTTCCAGAGAAGAGGAAGATGCAGTCTGGGCTTTGTAGGTGAGACTGGTGCCCACAGGAGCGCACCAGCTTTTCTCCCAGCTCGAGATGAATCAGCACCAACGTCTAGATCAGCGGTTCTCAACCTGTGGGTCG